CGACATTCTACCCACGACTGTTAGCTAGTCCCGCAGTTTATAGTCATCAGTTAAATTCCAAACTCCTTCTGCGACCAGAGGCAGAAGTCAAGGAACTGACATCGCACGCACTCTAGAAGTAGATGGTTGAACAAAGTTGATGGTTGATAAAACGGTTAAATCGGGCAAAACAACGATGTCAAACAAGATGGGTAAAACAGCGATATCAAACAACGATGTCAACGGCGATAATCTCGTTGTGGTGTCACGCAAATAGTTTCAGTGTCTTGGGCGAGTTGCATACTTCCTGTGGAGAAACCGAAGAAGGGCAACCTGAAATTATCTCAACCAGCAAGGCAAAACATGATGAACGGAAGTCTCGCACGGAGAAAAAGCGAGGGACTGTTATCGTGGGAAATTCCATGGTCAAAGGCCTACATCAACATAAACTTGCAAATTCGGTAAATCAAAACGTCGGGGTGAGGTGCTTCGCAGAAGCGACTGTCCTTGACATGAGCGATTACATTAAACCTGTATTGCGCAGAAAGCCAGATAACATATTGTATTACATGTGAAAACAAATGACAGGAAAACCAGAAAAGCAACGGAAATAATGAACAATATCGACAATTTATGTCAAGAAATCAAGGAAGCTGTCAAGAAATCAAGGAAGGTGCAGAATTAATAATCTCAAATTGATCAACCGAGAAGACAATAAGAAATCTAAACAAACAGTGATCGAAGTAAATAACTGTACTGCAACTAATTTAGGTCTAATTACACACGATAACATAACGAGCACATCGTTTAATAGGTCTAATTTACATTTAAACAGATATGGACCATATAGGTCTAATTTACATTTAAATAGATATGGATCACCTATTTTTGCAAAGAATATTGTTAGATATCTACAGCATTTTTAGTTTAAACAGAGTCTCATTCTTTAGCAGCAGCGATTTAATTATTGAGGATCCGTTCCATAATGCAAGCGAAAATTTTCAAAATTTAGAGATAGAGAACGAGAATAACATAAATTTTCTACGATCACTAAAAGGATTTAGAGTTGGACATATAAATATTGCCTCACTCGTCAAGCACATTGACAAATTGAAAATATATCTTGAAAAAGAACCATTCGACATCCTTCGTATTAACGACTGAGTAGACTCGATGAAACGATAAGCACTGATGTTGTCAGCAGACCAGGATATGAAATGATTGTTAAAAACCGTAATCGTGTGGGTGGCGGTGTTGCAATTTACTATCGCAGTGTTTTGAATGTTATGAATAGGCAAGATTTAATTCCAGCGAATGTTGAAGCTGTTTGTCTCGAGGTCACTAGGCCAAAATCCAAACCCATTTTAATTACGTTTGTTTATAGACCACCAAATTCGCGAATCGAACTCTTAAACGATATTGAAACACTATTTCAGAATCTTGATAGTGAACATGAAGAACAAATTATTGTAGGTGATTTTAATTGCGACATCGCAAATATTCTACATTTTTCTACACTTTTCAGAATTTTTTACATTTTTCAAAAATTTTTTTCAAAAATTACGACCCCGGTCTTGCCCTTTGCGACAAAAATATTTAACCCAAATAGCAGTTCTACCGACTGAATAGCAGTCCTACCGACTGAATAGCAGTCCTGCCGACTGAATAGAATTTCTGGGGAGTGTCACCCCCCCACACACACACACACACACCCCTCCCCGTAGCTCCGGGCCTGTTATCGACTTATTTCTATACTCTCGATAATTGCAAAACTATTTGAGAAGCTTGCATGTTCGCAACTCAATATATTTTTAACCAAAAATAATATTCTAAGTCCATGTCAGTTTGGTTTTCGAAAAGATCACTCAACCACAACAGCTGTTTTAGAAAATACTAATTCATGGCTACTGAATATGGATGCTGGGTTGATAAACGGTGTTCTTTACCTTGATCTAAGCAAAGCATTTGACACAGTTGATCATAAAATTCTTATTAAAAAGTTATTTATTTAAGGAATTCGAAACAAATCCCTAGACTGATTTAAATCGTATTTGCACAACAGAAAACAATTCTGCGTTATCAATAATGCAACATCGTACACAAAGAAAGTAAGTTGTGGGGCTCCACAAGGATCAAATCTTGGTCCTCTTCTATTTTTGTTATATGTGAACGATCTCCCAAACTGTATGGAGAACTAACATGCAGCAATGTATGCTGATGATACAAATATTACAGTGCGTTCATCTAGTTTAATTCATGTGGAAGAGACCTTAAATAGTGAATTGGAAAATATTCATTACTGGCTTCTTTCAAACAAATTAACGTTAAATGTAGAAAAAACAGAATATATGATCATTGGAACACGTCAAAGGTTGAATAATCTTTCTCAAGACATTAATGTTTCTATCGATGGGAAAGTATTAAAAGAGGTTGAAACCAAAAAGACTTTAGGCGTATTGGTTGACGAACATCTGTACTGGGATAAGCAGATTGACAACATCAGTAAAAAAGCTTCAAAGGGCATTGGCATGTTGCGCCGTGTAAAGCCCTATGTTCCAACCAAAACTCTTCAACATCTTTACCAAGCCCTAGTTCAACAACACTTTGATTACTGCTCAATGGTTTGGGGGTAACTGTAGAATATTTAAGAGGGAAGCCTCAAAAGCTTCAAAACCGAGCTGCTAGAGTAATTACCGGCCACCCATATGAAATACGCTCGATTGATATTTTAAAGAAACTAGAATGGAAAACGTAAAGTGAAAGAAGGAAGGAGCAACAACTAAAATATGTATCAAAAGCTCTTACATGCTAATTAATGTCCTAAGAACATTTCGGATATGTACAAATTATCCAACTCTGTAAGATATGAATTAAGAAGCAATAATAATAAGCTGATGTTGTCGAAGCCAAAAACAAATTCAATGAAATGTACTTTCGGTTATGCTGCTGTTAAAGTGTGCAATGAGAGAAATAAAAACTCTTGAATTATCTTTTATCTTATTTGGGTGGGGTTTGAGTGTGAATATTTTATTGCTATTATCTGGGGAGGGTGGATGGGAGTTTCTTTATACTCTTTGTAACTACACGGCCTAATGAAAAGCAACGAAAACCTTGTAAATATTTTATAGTTGATTAGCTATCGTGTATAAAGATGTTTAAGAAGATAATAATAGATGTTTAAGAAGATAATAATAATAATAATATTTCTAGACATCGTTTTAAACGGATCTCTTGCTCTAAAGATTTCGCGTTTCTATAATCACGCTCTTGAACGTGATTGTGTTGGCTGCGTTTGTAAGCCTTCTTTCACATGGACGACATATCATATGCGGTAGACTGTTGTCTTGAGGCAAATTGTTGCCATAAGTATTTTCCACGTTCTTTAATACAGCTTGATTAGAAGACTTTACAATGATTTTTGTTAACAAGAGCTTTACAAAGACGACAAGAGGAACTATATATACTTCTGCAGTGGTGCTTTTGAAGTAGCGCTTTTTTCCGTGTTTCTCTTGCATCCATCAGCGACGGAATAAAAACACATTTTGTGATATTTGACCTGAGTATATGTGGCCATGTTGTAATCCGATATTTACCAACAAAATGAAGGTGTTAAATACACACTTTCCACCTCAGAACGCCATGAAACGTTTATATCTTTTACACGAGAATCAAACAATATTTGTTTATTAGTTTATATTTCCCAAAATATGTGAAATTTACAAACCCGCTCCTCAGCCACCCCTCCCCCGGTATAATTTATTTTACCTCCCAGAATCTGGGAGGTCACGTGACCAGCCTTTACAAGGGTCTCCGTCCCGCCGCGGGTTTGGAGGCCATTGCTTGCGAGGTTGTCACTTTTATTGATTTCCTTTTATTAAAAGTGTTAACATAACATTTTATTTAGCAACAGTTTGTTTTTTTGCCTATCTTCTCCTTATTAAAATCGTGAAATACACTTGCTGGGAATTTCAGATGCTCATGTATAAGTAACAAAGCAGCGAATGATATAAATTCCTCAAACTATAAAGCCTGGTTCACATTGATCGGCGATGTTGTACGATCCATTGTCTGTGAGCAACGAAGAAGAAAATGCACAAAACATTTTATGTTATGCATCAATGACCACCGACAATGGGCATCGCCGATGTTTACGATCAATGTGAACCAGGCTTAACTCTCGCATAAAAAAACATGAATACTTCTATAACATGTATAGTTATATTCCTCTGCATTATCAAAATTTAATAAAATAGTGAATTAATAAAATTTGATCGGCGTGACATAATTTGCCGCGAGATTCCTCTCTGTATATCTCTCCTCTGTGGTTCTGTTGACTAAATTTAACCGTTTGGTTTTGTTTGCTTAAATTTAGTCAACAGAACTTTAGTTGTCCGAAGATTGTCTGTAAACTCAGAAACTCTGAGTAACAACGTTTGTTTTGTACTTTATTTCATAAATAATTAATATATATATATATATATATATATATATATATATATATATATATATATATATATATATATATATATATATATATATATATATATATACAGGGTGTATCAAAATAAACGCAATTCATCTTTTGTGCTTAATAACTTTCGAAATACTATTTCTAGTTAAACGCTTTTAGGTTTACTTCAAAGCCTGTTCTTTTCTCTTTCAAACAAACTATTATCCTTGTCTCCAATGCTAGTAATAATTGCACAGGAAAAGATTTAGTAAAACCTATCATTTTTAGTTGCTGTTTAATTATGCAAGTTTACTGTGTTATTGTTTAGTCGGTTTAAATGTTAGAATTTTCTTCTTTAAACTTTAATGTTGTCGTCACTACATCTGGAAAACCACGTAAGAACAAATTAAAAGTATTTTAAAAGAGACCAGGTTGTTTGAAAATCCTAAACGAATGCTAAAAATGTCAAAACATTCTGGTGTCTGAGCAAGAGTGTCATCGAAATGCGATGTAATGTAAACAGAAATTATAGCAAGTTGATGTCAGTCAACTTAGATGGTCCAAGCCAAAATTATATCGCATTTGAAGTTTCAAACTGAGTTAAAAATAGTGGAAGAAAAGCCGTAATTATACTTATTGTTACAATCCATTTAATAAAATGCAACATTTTTTTGTTTTAATGAAAAAATTAGTTATTTTCATGAGGACGATTTGTTATTCCATCTCATTTTTTTTAATCTCCAATCACAATAACGTAAAGTATTATTACCCGCGAACCAA